CTTCAATCTTCTAGCTTCATCATAGCCCTTCAGAAGTCACAGAAAGTTTTTCTTTCGAATGAAATAGCTCTTGGACTCCAGATGAAACTGCACATTTGATAGTAGCTTAGTGAAAAATTTTCTCAGTCGAGAAACAAAACTTACCGTTTAGTATCCATATTGCGAAATGTTAAAGAAAGTAGTCTATTTCGATACGGTTGGAATAGTTAGTTGGTTAAGAGGTTTAACACTAAAATTTCCATCTCAAGTGCCATGGCAGATGACATGAGAGGGGTAACCACTTGCTTTCAAAGTCTCTGTCAGTCTCTTTTTCTCTTCTTTAGCTAATTTGAATGAGTAGTTTAGCCTCTCAATGCAAACTGTGAATGTTTTCACCAAAACTACTTTGTACTTTCTGATTTAATTCGAGTCCTAAGTACGATAGTGGTCTATATATGCAGGTTTCCTATATAGTGTTGATATGTATTCGATGATCTTTCATTTTGTCAGCACGTCAAAGAAAAGGAGATGGGTGTTTGTCTGAAATTCAATTGTGAACTTTAATTCTGGATGCCAATGATTTATTCTATCCATTTATTCAAGTATTTTATTGTGTTCGATATCGAAGTCAGCAATGATATCATCAACATATCAATACCAAATCTTGAGTGGCTTTTTCGAAAAACGTTGAAGTTTCTCCTTCAGTTTTAATATAACAATATTCACAAGAATTGGCGCAAGGGAACTTCTCATGGCAACACCATTCACTTGTTTATACTTTTTGTCAAGAAATCTAAATCGAAGGTTTCATACAGCCAAATTCATTAAGTCTTACATTTGACTTCTATACTATGTCATATCTGATGTAGTATTCTGTTTATAGATCATTTAAAGAACATATTCAATTGTTTCAGTCACTGATATATTTGTAAACAAGGATTCCACATCAGATGAAACCATAGTCTGAGTCATGAAAGATCTAAACGCTCGGATTCTCGTCACAAAATGATACGAATCTTTTATGAATGAGGTTGGTTGTTGAGTTCGATGAGAGACAAGGAATGATGCTATATATTTGGATAATTCGTTGATAATTGTATGCTTTGATAGAAGAAATTGTGAGCCTTTAGTTGTTCACACATGACAGACAGCGATGCGAATATGGAACGGAGTCGCCAAAAAAAAAGTGACTAATACATTATTTTATATAATTGCCTAAGGACCTTGTTCATTTCTATTTCTTTCTTTTCCATTGAAGACGAACTAGGAAAGAAGCGACATTGCTTCCCGTTAAGAATTGCTCTTCCTATGCTCTCATAATCAATCTTATTGAAAACAATTATACAGTTTCCCGTGCTGCTTTATAAATTACAGTAGGCGCGGTGCATTTAAGAGTTCATCGGGTACGTTCAGTATCTTCTTCTTGCAAACGCTTTTCATCAATTGCTGAGACGCAGAAAAAATGTGTCGATAGAGAGTACAAAAGACGGATAGGTGATACGTGGGTAGTAGTTGGAACGAATTTCGTTCAACGTCAGTTTGAAAATCTACGAAATTGATTATTCTTTGTTTCATGGAAAAATCCTAGACATGTGCAAGAAGTCTTTCCTCAACAGAAGATAAGATGTATGAGGATACATTATGAGCAAGTTTGTAAATATTGGACGTCTAGTTCTCACTAGCAGGTCCATGAGCAAGTCTCTCGAATTTAATCTCATCTATCATCGAAGCACGATTATGTTCTGTCATAGTCTTTTATCAAAGAACAAGATTGGTCGAGTAGAAATCAACCGTAGGCACTTTCTTTTCCAACCAGTCTATACACGATTTTAGTTCTTGATTGAGGCAAATAGTCACCTTGTAACGTACTTCATATTCGTGTTGTAGACATTGACGTTTGAAAAGCAGAGCTTGCTCAGCCAAAATATAAGATTGTTTCAACGCATGAAGGTGAATAATAGATTGAACTAGACTATACATTAACCAAGTGTAGGGATTCTCAAAGCCTAATTAATAGGAACTGAGCAGTCTTCAGCTGTCAGACGATATTGTCCTTTTCTTAGCGTATACCGAAATGATTCATACAACTGCAGACTTGTGTTCAAAAACCTAAATGCGAAAGCAATACTTTCAGTAGATAGAGCTCGCGCAACTCATTCAAAGAACATAAAAAAATGTTTGAACCACAGAGGTCTCCCACACTCATTTTTCGACTAGTGAGAAGATTGACACAAATCGTGCATAAATGTCAAACACGAGATCCTCATATTCTAACATAAGAAAATTGAACGGCGCATTTTCTCGTTATGATAAGAGTACGTGCGTAAAAACATAGTTGTTTGAGGTTGTTTGTGGAATGGCAAGACAATGGACATGGAAACCACGCTGATTCAACTACTTTTATGTTGGTCGAATAAACCACATAAGCTTTAGTAGGCTATTGGTAGATGGTTGGATCTTTTTTATGAGTCCACAATTATATCAAGTATTTTATTTTCTGAGAGAAAGCGTCGTTCACTAAAATATTTCTGTCTGCTGTCTGCTGAAGGCTATCAGAGAGTAGCTCTACTCCAGCTATGGAATAAACTGTATTTTTTAAAAGAAGCTTGACTAAAAAGTAATCGTAGATAGATAATGCAAATTTGATGCTGGTATACATATTTTTGTTTTCATTTTTATAATTATTCAAAAAAAACCTTGGCCACGGACAATCATAATCTGTCAATCTGGCTCATGGGTTAGTTTTTCTTTGAAATCAATAATTTTTTTGAATAAGGTCCTTTACGTGTAATAAAATTCCTCAGAAGATATTAGTTATTGTGAAATACAAACTTGACTTCTACGTTTTTTTTTCTTTTGTATTTTTAATGAAGAAAAAATTCATCAAAGTGGCGTTTTAGAGAATCTGAATTCCGTTTTCCTTCTTTCTGAGCAGCAGAGCTATGTTAATGAAATTATGAACATGAATCTTTTTCTATCTTTTTGTTCGTTGATAGTAATCAGAAAGTATCCAATTGATAATTAGAGGAAAATAAGCAATCTTTTGCGAAAAAGCATCAGAGCATACTAAGAACTTTGAAGACAAATGAAGACATGGCAAATGGCGACCATCCATCTTCAGAGTAATAGAATATTGAGGGCCACTTTATGCTTGAACTTACTTCAATCGCCAGAATCACGATACCAGCGTATTCATTCGCAAGCAGCGTTAAGAATCAGTGTGGATTCTGGGCTTAGATGTGACTGTGTAGTTCCTTTAATAAATGACCAGCTCTAGTAGACTTTAAAAAGATATCAATGGCTTACTCAAAGGTGTTTTTCTAGCAATATAGATTACATAGTTCATATTTTCTTACGATTTTCATAATTTCAGATGGTTTTCAGGATATTAAATAAAGATTTCGATTGCAACGAATATCATTGGTTGAATGATTTTTGTGTTTATTTTTCAAAGAAAGGATTTCGTTTCCAGTGAATTGTCGAAACTCCCCGCATGGCATTCAATAAGATTGTAATTTTCGAGCCATTGTCAACATTGATATTGAGGCGACAAAGAGGTACTTATCCAGAATCGGTTAGCTGATAAAGTGGTCTGAATTACACTCTGCCATACTTTATTTAACCGATCGAAATTCGACAGAATGATCTAACGAGGGAACCTCTTCAAGTACTAAAAAGCATTTGACCTCAAATTTTGTCCACAGATAGGAGATGTATATACTAGAAAAAGTCTAAAAGGATATCGACCCAAGTAGCGATTTGGCTGAGATAGCAGCGTTTTACTATAATTTTTCTGTAGAACCTCACGTTGCTAGTAAAATTAAAGTTTTGAATTTTGATCTGAAACTTTGTCTACACGGTTGGAAAAAATATTATTCCAGGGGGTAGCGCTATAATTTCAAATAGAAGACATAATAAATTTTATATCAAATGAAAGCTCGTTAAAAATGGGGTTTATTGGTATTAAATAGTGAGGGTTATGAAAACCTTTTAATGTCGGGCTTAATAAATTTTCAGAGATTTTATACTTTTTTTGGGATGGAAACTTAAAGTACTAGTGATTCAAGAATGGAGTAAAATGTTTTTCTTGAATATTTTTACACGGTTCGATAGAGCTCGTCAAGCTCTATAAAACTGTATACATTAAAAAAATTTTAAGACACTTTTTTTGCGATAAAAAATTCAAAAAACTATTTGGAAAATCTTAGAAAACATGAAAAAAATTCATATTTTTCATGTGGAAGAACAACACTTACTTTTTCAATAAAAGTAGCTTTTTTCATTGTTTTTACTCCGTCAGGCGTTTCGAAACATACTCATTAGACGCAGCTTTTCACACTGCATCGAACGAGTATATTTCGAGACGTCTGAGGTAGTAAAAACAATGAAAAAAGCTACTTTTATTGAAAAATTGAGCGTGTTTCTTCAATTTGAAAAAAAAAAGAGTTTTTAAATATTTTTGAAGTTTCCCGAGTAGTTTTTTGAACTTTTTATCTCAAAAAGATGCCTCAAAAAATTTTTAACATGCACAGTTTTGTAGAGCTCAACGAGGTCTATCAAACCATGTAAAAATATTCAAGAAAAAAAATTGACTTCGTTTTTGAATCAGTGGCACCTTGATTTTCCACCCCAAAAAAATATAAAATTTCTGAAAACTTCTTAAGTTTGACATTAGAAAGTTTTTACAAGCCTCACTATTTAGTATCAATAAACCCCATTTTTGACGAGCTTTCATTTGATATAAAATTCATTATGTCTTCTATTTGAAATTATAGCGTTACCCCCCTGGAATAATATTTTTTCCAACCGTGTACATCCACACCCACACCCTTTATGAATAGTTATTGCACAATAAGCGTACTATTTAGATGAAATCCATTTTGTGTTTCTTTTTCACTTTCATTCTGCTTTTTTTTTCGAATGTCGCAGTAGAATAAAAACACGACAAGTGAAGTCAACAACAACGGCATTCTCCGATAGTTTGAAAAAAAATTTGGGTTTTTTTAAATTAAACATTTACAATGACACATGAACATTGGTATAGTATTTCTTTATTTTTTTTTATTTAATATCTACTGATTTTCTAGTGCTCAATTCTATTCTGATTGGCAAACAACGGTTCATTGTTCATTTGAAAATGTGTTTACTCCAACGATTGCTCATATAGTCGGTGCTAATCTTCAAAATATATTGGGTATTAAACACTTTAGACCAGATGCAATGGCTAGAGATGCCTCATCACCATGTATATTTACATGCCAAAGACGAGAAGCAAACGATATTCGTGATAAACTTATCCAGGTGACGACTGAATCGTATTCACATATTTGGTTTTCAATGCAAACAGAACCATTTCATTTTATTTACAATAGGCGTTCAATGGTGGATGATGATTCAATGAAAGTCAAACAATATCCTGTCTTTTTCTATTTTGGTTCTATGTATACTTATAGTACTTTTCATATTCATAGTAAACCACACCCAGTTATTTACGATATTGACATAACCAAATGGAATCAGGCACCAGAAACAATTCGTATCATGTCTAAAGATAAAACGAGACAAATCTTTATACCAGTGAAATGGATACAAAAAAAAGTGTTGGTCAATACAAATGGACGACCATGTGTGGTTTTAATGTTAAAATATTCTGTAAAAATGAAAAGAAAAGCAACAATCAATGGTAAATCAAAGTATGAAAGGTAAGGTAGATAGATCAATTGATAATACGACTGTTGTTTTCCAGACAGATGCTCTCGTGACACTTGTTCCTTGGCAACAGTTGTGGGTGTGGCTGTGGTAGACGTGGATGTGGGTGTCGGAGGTGCAGCGACTATAAATGTTCATCAGTTTTTTGCCCACTCACACACATATCCGTGCTGCAAAACTGAATGTCCGAGAAGTAGTTGTCACCGAGGAGCAAGTGTCACGGGAATATCTGTCATGGAATCGTTTTATATTATAGTTCCATGAAATCATACATCAGTAATCTTATATTTCATATCTCTTCTTTTAGAGTATGTCGAATAGATGAAGAAGGACTCGAAACAATCGTATCGAGAAGTTCTGATCTTCTTCTTTCGTTCAATGAAATTGACCATACATATGCTTTTCTGTCAGAGCTTACAAAAGAAACCGATAATTATCGCAATAAATTTAAAATCTACTTTGTTTCACTTAAACAAGTTCAATGTGATAATAATAATAATAAACAACCTTTTAATTTGCCTCGATCAGCATCACATAAACAACATTATGCATTGAAAATGCTTTATTCTATGGGTTATGTGTTTCAAGATAAATATTCAAAACAAATGCATGATCAATTTGTAGCATTTGATAAAGAATTATTCAATAATATGTGCTATTATCTTAAAGAAAAACTCGAAGAAAATCATTGTTATATGTTAAATCGTATATTCGATGAATACAACACTTATCTAAAAGAGAAACGTAAAAATGAACAAGAATATTCTGTACAAAAACTTCCCTATTGTATTGGTTGTATTTCGTTGACACCATTACGAATTATCTATCATCGAATGGAATCATCAATTGAAAATCGAGCATTAAGAATGAGACAATTCGGTGGTGAAGATATGTTTTTATTGGTACATATTCGAGAAGAAGATAATCAAGCATTAAAAGATTTTGATTCATCAATTAAATGTCGACTTAAATCAAAAATGATGCAAGGAATTAAAGCTATGGATAGAATCTATCGTTTATTTGGTACATCAACTAGTCAATTAAAAGAAATGTCATTTTGGTTTGCAGCTATTGAAGATAAACCAATTGAAAAAGCTTGGGAAGAATTAGGAAATTTTTCGTCCATAAAAAATGTTGCCAATTATGTAGCACGGATTGGTCTTTATTTCTCAACATCTCATGCAACAGGAGTACGTGTATATTTTCTATTTTTGATAGAACAAACAAAAAAATCCAAACAATATTTTTTATTATCATATTTTAATAGATTTCATTTAAATATGAGAAAAACTTCTCACCCAACATGCAATATGTAGCAACAACTATTGATGATATTGAGACAAATGATAAAAAATATTGTTTTACTGATGGCATCGGAAAAATGTCATGGGGTATTGCTGGTCTAGTTGCTCCAAAATTAAATATTAAATTGGAATCAAGAGATGATATACCGTCAGCTTATCAAGTTCGTATTGCAGGATGTAAAGGAATGCTCGTCATTGATCCTAAATCGAAAATGAATGATTATTATATAAAAGTTAGACCATCGATGGAAAAATTTCAATCTGATAATTGGGAATTAGAAGTATGCAAATATAGTGGACCGTGTAAGGTTTCAAAAACTTAGTAGACAAATAAATATTATAACAATAGATTGTATTTGTTTTTATAGTTGAACTTAGATTCAATAATCAAGTGATCATGCTTTTATCGGATTTGCGTAATCCTGATGCAGTTTTTGAATCCTATCAAAATGCAAGTTTGACTAATTGTTTTGCACAAAATGAAAAGGAACAGCAACGAAAATTGAAGTTTGCATCAGCTAAGGAAGATTTATTAAAAAATAGAATTCCATTACCGTTAAATGAAGCACGAAATATGTTTGGTGTTGCCGATGAAACTGGTACATTAGAATATAGTCAAGTATTTATTCAGTATAAAAATCTTGATCCAAACATTGATAAAACATATATTGTTGTAACTGGTATGTTTGTTTTTTTTTAATTATTTTATAATTCTACAAAAAAATTACATCAATTATGTATGTCTATAGGTGATGTATTAGTAGCGAAAATGCCGTGCTTACATCCTGGCGATTTTCGTCGGTTGACTGCTATCGATGTACCTCAATTGAGAAAATGTATACGTGATTGTATTGTATTTCCAACGAAAGGAAAACGACCTCATCCGAATGAAATGTCTGGATCTGATCTAGATGGAGATCAATATTGGGTGAGTCTTAATGAAACTAACTGATGATTCACTATTTCAATTAAAATACTATAATAAGAAAGAAAAAACTATTTTATTTCGGATACTTTATAAAAGCAAAAATTATTATCAAGATTTTGACTAGCATGATGTCTTAAACGAATGTTGTCTTATTTTTATGTTTGTACTTATAAGTTTTGTAGACAGATTAGTACAAGAAATAACAATGCTAGATATCTTCTTACTACAGATCAACTCGAGTTTTCTTTTCAAACTTAAATTTGATCTTTAAAACAAAGCATACATGAAAGTACGGATGAATATAAGAAAATAATACATAATTTTTGTGATCTCATTTATTTACTATCTTTGATAAGATTGTGTAAAGCTTTTATTACAAAGAAAATTCAATTAGTACAATTGCAACCTTAGGTACTATGTTATTGAAAATGTTAAATGTCTTTGTATTAGGTATATTGGGGAAAACAATTGGAAATCAGAGAAATGGATGAACCATTATCATATGAATCTTTACCAAAGAAAGTAGTACCTAAAATAACATATGAAGATATAATCGATCATATCGTTGAGTCATTTGGAGCTGGAAGTCAAGGTATTATTTGTGATGTACATTTAGCAATTGCTGATTCTCGTCCAAAACGTACCAGATCAGATGAATGCCGATATTTAGCTGAATTATTTGCACGTGCTGTTGATGCACCAAAAACAGGTGAAATTATTGAATTAGATAAAGTTTATAAATTAAGAGCAGAATTTTGTCGAGGATATCCAGAATTTATGAAAAAATACGATCAACCAATACGTCAATCGCAGAGTATTTTAAATAAATTATTTTTAAATGCAAGAAGATACTTTTTTACGCATCATGAAACAGATCTTCAAATAGCATCATCAAAACCTATTTTACGATCCGATTCATCTACTCCTAAAGTCTGTGCACAACGAAAAACTGGAGCAAGCGTACAAGACGAAGAGTTTCAAGAATGGCTTATATCTCTTAACATTGATACATCAGACAATACAATCAGTGAAGCTAAATCTATCTTAGCAAACACCAAAGGGAGAAAAAGCTCAATTAAAAGTCTTGATACTGCAAGCAGTATAGTTGAGGTGGACTCTTCGACACCATCACTAGAATCATCAATCACAGGAAATAAAAAGAAAAGAAATATTCAATTGAAAAAAGAAGAAGCCGAAGACAATCAAACACTCTCAACAAAAGAAGAAAAACTTCCTGTCGAACCAAAACCATCTGGATCAGCTTCAACAAAAGATAAAACACCAAAACAAACTAAAGCAAAAGCAGAATCTATTAACACATCTGATGAACCTTTTAAGTTAACCAATTCTGCTACGCCATCAGTTTCACTACAACTATCAGCAAGTGCTTCGTCGATTTCTCAGAATACTCTTAATCGAAATATTGTTTTCAATGGTATGACAGCAGTAACCAATCGGCTCAAATGGGTTCAAATAGGTAGTGATGTTTTTACAGTTGATCTGGATTCAAAAGGGAATAGTGAAAGCAATGCAATAGATAAAATAGTTAATCTTATGCTTGATCTAAGAAAAACAGCATCTTTTTCGACTGACACTAAATTAACACTTACAATATTATGGGGTGAACTTAACATTAGAACTACACAAACAATGAATGATACAAAACCAAAGAATATAAAAGAACTTGTCCAAGTAATCAAAGATAATAATGATATTGAAATTTTATTTAGAGAATCTGATATCAAAAGTATTGTAAAAGAACATGTAAGTATCGACACTTATTTAGTATACAATAACAAAAAACCTTTTAATCTTAGGAACCATCTGGCAAATCAGCAGCAGTCTATGTCCTTATTTGTAGATGTTTGGTTATTACACCAAACGATATAGCACTCATATTTGATGATAAAAAAAAATTAAAGAAAATTTCATTTGCTTCTCGAGAGTGGATTTGTGCTGTTCGAGGCGGTGAAGCTATTACGGATAGTTACTATGAAATTCGATGTACAACCAAAGAAATCGATTCAGAACATGAGTCATTCTCTAACTATTTGAAAATGTTGTTCAAAGATCTGAACTCACTTGATATTTTAACTGGTAAAAGTCCACAAATTTCAATTGCTAGCGAACAATTTATACCAGGAGTACAAATTATTTCTTTACAACGATTGGTTCGTTGTGATTATGTCCTTTTAAGTCAACGAAAGTTATATCAAGGTCAATTTAGTACACTGACAAATCTCGAGTGGGCTTTTTATCATGTTACACGTATTTCTACAGAAAAGATAAATGGTAAAATTTCAACACGAGATGTAATTGAATTTCAGGCAACACCAATTCAACTGGCAAAAAAATGTGAACAAGACTTGAAAAATTTATGTGATTTGGCAAAGAGATTTTTTGACTAAATTTTAATAATATAGTTTATGAACAAAATAACAGAATAAATCAAGACAATGAGAGTAACATTTTCAATGTCTTTAAAAGTCATCTTCGAGAATCACGAAAAAGAGAAGATAGGTATTGTTCTAGAAAGTTCGTTTTATGAATAATCGACAACTTATTATGTTTATAGTACAGTTTTGAGACGCAAAACATTTATAGAAATGAAACAATTTCTTATGTAATTGATTGATATTTAACGCGTACTCAACCATCGTATTTCTATGATTAGGATTAACAGTTTGAATTTAAAATACTAAAATTTTTAATTAATATAGGATATCTGTTCGGCAAACTTCATGCAAATGGTAGACAATGTTGATTTTAAACTAACTGAATTGAAGATAAGAAAAGAGAGAATGATTATTAAAACGAATTATGTTTGTTTACTTTTAGTTTTTGTATCAGAAAAATCATTTTGACTTTTTTTCATTTAAACATGAACGATCAGGTTCAAATGTTAGTGATAATATATATTAGTGTCACATTGACATTTTTATTATTTCAATTGTAGAATTCATACAAAAAAAAGTTACTGATCGCTGTATAAGATTATTCATAAATCATTTGATAATCCAAAGAAATCTGTAATACAAAAAAATCAATCAGTATTCTTATAGCTTCGATTAATGTTAATGATGTGGAGATAAATCGAAATGATCTTTTCAAATCATTTCATTATGAGATTTTGAATCTATCGCTAGTGTCTTAATCTAAATCGATGTAGGGTGAGTGTGGATGCCGGAGTGTACTAGTTCTCTTTCGGTACACCCACACCCACATCCACATCTTCCTTTTTAAATTTGCATTATTAGTCATTCTTTTTATCTAAAAAAATAAAAGTATTGAGTTTTTTATATTTGAAGAATCTTAGACGTTTTAGGCATAGTTTCTTTCCGTAGAAATAAAATCGAGAATAATTGAGATGATACTAAATGATTATAAAAGTAGTTCGATGTAATTGTAACAAATCTAGCAGATAAATCTCAAATAATAGACGCATCACTATTGGCAGTGACAATTTAACGAATCTCTTGAGATATAAGCCGTCGAGATAACAGAGGGTAGATTGAACAAGAAAAAAAAATCACATATATAACACTAAAGATGTCACGGAGTCCGTGTCAACCCACCTTTTAATTTTTTCCCTGTAAGAGCTATCAAAGAAATTTCATATGGTCTTCGTGCATTGTTAGGAGAATAGCGATTAAAGAAACGATCAATCTGCAAACGATAAGTATTAATTTAGCTAAAGGCAAAAATCAGCATTGTGGGTCCGGTTAGATCCCCAAACAGTGTACAAGGGTTAATTATATCCTGACTTCGAATGAGATGGTTCGCTTTCCTGTTAATTAAAAACAAAATGAAAAATGAAAATGCAGGGTGTGGATGGGTGTGATTCTTCTTTTAACTCACACCTATACCCACACCCACCTCCAAATCAAACAAAATCAAATTTAAAAATCGGGCTCTATTACGTCCTAGCCTTAAGGACACTCTACAACCTGAAAACCACCCGGGCTTGGTAGCTCGTATCCTTATTATGAAATTCTTGCCTGCGTAAAGGGTAATGAATTAACTAGAACTTGTGCATTTCGTTGAGATTTGGGGGAGATATTTTAACCATAAGCTATTCTAGTCAAGATCAACATTTCCTGAAATTTTGGTTGAAATCGGACGAAAAATAACAAAGTTCGCTTCTGAGGGGGCCCCCCTTAAACAAAAACTACACAATTAAAACAGGCTTTATTTTATAGATTGTAGAGGTTTTTACGCTGCATCTTGTGGCATATTTTGTTTTTAAAGTAAACGTACTTAATCATGAAAAAAAGAAATACAAAAACTGGCTATTCACATTGTAGGACACTCGATATTATTCATAAAGTAATTATAAATTAAACTTTCCATTCAATTTACCGCAAAATTCATAAAAATCTATATTAAGTAAGTCTCATGAGAGTGCAGACGAGATATTTGTGTTATGGATATCTGTGTGAAATAAAGTAACCTAACAGTATGTTTCAATTCAATGCACCAGAAATAATTTCTGACTCAAAGGGTTAAATCCTATGTCTATTTACGTTTAGAGTATATCTATTGTCGTAGCAGAAACTGGCAAACGAGACAAATTTAACACTATTTTAGAAGGAAATACGAATTACATTTTTCTTTTATATATTATATTTGAAACTATTCGTGCAGAAATACTTAAGGTTTAAAATTTGTCTCAGTTTTATGTGATGATATTAAACAAATCAACATAGTATCGATGATAAACGAATACATCATATAATGAAAGATTTCCTTTATTGTGACCTATCGTTTTAATATCTTGTTGATCTTCAGAAAAGATGTTGTATCATTTGAGACAACTGAAAAACATTTTCTATTTAATGATTTTCTTAAACAGTAAAATATAATAATGAATTTCTTTTCTCTTTTTAATGAACAGAATTTGCAACGTTTATTATTCTTTAATTTGAATTATCTTTGATTATTCATTTTTCAATATATTAATATAAATTAAGAGAATTTTTTGTATCTATATAATCACACAAAACATTTTGCGAAAAGTATTCCATCATAGGGTGTGGGTGCAAGTGTGTCTGAGTGTGCGAGTACATAAAGAGAACACTCACAGCCTGCATCTCGACGCACTCTTTCAAACAAAAAAAAATTTAAATATATTGACAGAGTCTGGACCGAGAGTTCCTTGTCAGAAGATGAAAAAATCATAAACCCAGAAAAAATAAGGTATCGAAGAAAAACCGATGCAGTTTTTGAAAGAACAGAAGAGGAGCTATCTTCCCATGCATTTATCTCAATTTCGAAATTTCTGACGAAAATTGACTTTTTTTTAGAAGACCTTTAAACATATCTTCATAGTTGTTTAAGTGCTATGTTGAGATTTTTCTTCAACCATTCAGTTGGAAGAATACTATACTATTTGCGTCTCTGAAGCAAGAAGTTTTCCTGTGACAATAATACATTTTGAATGATCAAAGGTTGCGAGCATAGGTGAGAGATGAGTACAATATTCCCATCAAGATCCACACTCTTATGATTTTCATGACATGGGACACTTAGCGACGACATTAATGATGAAATGTATTAACATTGAGCTTCATGACTTGTGAAAATTTCCATGGTATACCGACGATTTCATCAGCTTGTGCAATAACTCAACGTGCAGAACTGTAAAGAAAAATATTAATAACATTTGCCTACTTCTTGTTTTTTCTCTTTTCCTTTGCATGGAGTAACGCGTAACCATATTAGTCATCACACGATTATTTTGAAAATAGGTCATAGAATGAATACGTTCGTAGATTGGTTCATAAATCATTGATTATTTTCAGATGAAACAAGCTACTACCTCTACTTCATTATTATCACCATTCAATGGCAAAACGATTGTACTCGAACTTGGCCATGAAATAGGTTTCAAAGCTAAACAAGAATTGATCAACTATTTACGAGAACAGCAAGCACATATTTCATATATTTTGACAGCTAGTGTATGTTCTCCTTTTATTCCATTAAACATGTGATTAAAGTTGACTTATTTAGACTGATTATGTTTTGGCTATGAATAATGTAGATAGCTACAAGATACGTCGTGCCAAACAGCTTGGCTTACCAATAGTCAATGTTGAATATGTATACAGATGTCGTTGTTTGCCACCTGGTCAAACATCAATTGATATTAGTAAATTTATTATCAAGTCAGCTGAAGATCAAGAAAATTTTACAAAAACCGGCACTATTTCCATGGAAGGTATTAGTAGTTCTTTTAAAAATCATGTCAGACATCCTTGTTCATTAGAATGTCGAGTAAATGTGACTAAAATCAATAAATTCGATTTGACTAAAATCAAATTATGGAATTCGGACGATGTCGATTTGCCTGGTTTCGATGAGTTGACACATTGTGAGATTGGCAAATGGGCCATTTTCAAAGTAGATTTGTATTAATTTCTAACTATTGTTCTCTTATATTTCTACTGTTCATAATAGGAAACCAACGATAATTCAAATGTATTTTTTGTTCTTGAACTTCAAGTTATTCCAGAACAGTACTACGATCGAACAACGAGTGATTATCGACTACGATTTCGATATGAAAAACAGACTATTATTGGTGAAGAACCACAACACGATAAAAAAATTTCGATACAATATGCATTCAGTGATGATCCAAACGAACAACAACAATTGTTTGCATCGTACTATTATCGAGTGGCTAAAATGTCACGTATAACACGAATTCGTGAGATGTTACCTAATAAATTAGGATCAAAACTATTGTTACGTGTAAGTAAATAACATTGACAAAGAGAAACTATTTTCCAAAAGAAGATCAATTATTTTTAGTCTTTATTTACTCATCGTATCGATACACAGATACTTGATGAGAACGTATGTCAATTGATTGAATCGATTTGGTTAGAATCGATTGGTGATCTGAATAAAATGTTGAGCATATCACCCGAATCGATCACTCTCAAAACGGTATACAAATTCATTTTGTTACATTCATATTAGTTTGTGCTCTAAACAACTAAATAGATCATTGAAGCCGAAGCTGCACTGCTTGAACTCAAATCAACCAACAATTCTGCTGCTGCACTTCGTTTCTATTCACTTATACCACATCGACAAGAATACAATATCGATCTCATCAAGAATCGTCGAGCGTTAACCGAAAAAATAGACTTATGTCAAGTATGTCTATTTCTTTTTATTTGTTTTGTTTGATCTTTTACCTGTTCAGATGCTTCGAGATATGCTTACTGTCAACGAACTGACCAATTGGAATGTTAAAGCACCAATCGAAGCTAAATATCGAGCATTGAAATGTTATATTGAAACAGTGACTAGTTCAACACCCGAATTTAAGAATATTGCTAACATCATTCAATCGTCGACAGATAGGTGAGAAAATTTAATATTCAATTTCATGATAATAGCTTATTTGTTTTTGTTCATTAGCGATGAACAAATTGTCATTCACAATGTATTCAGCGTGGCTAAACAGACAGATGCACTCAATTTTTGTACAACATTATCTCATCAACGACAACTATTTCATGGATCGAAATATGTCAATTTTCTTGGGATTCTTTCACGGTAAAATATTCATTTAATCCTCTAGACAATATTATGTGTACATTTAGTGGTTTGGTCATGCCTAAAATGGTAGTAGAAGACTTAGGTGTTGTACGTACTGATATTGGTTGTCTCGGTTATGGGATTTACTTTTCTGATTCTGCTTCGACTTCTTTAAAGTATACAACAACAAGCATAGTACGACCAGGTCGTCGTTTGTTATGCATTTGTCAAGTAGCACTTGGCGAAACAGCTAACTATTATTCATTTTCACCGACTCTCACCAAACCTCCGGATGGTTTTCATAGTACGCATGGAGTTAAACGAACAGAAGATAATCATTCAATGTTTACTGTAAGTAGTTAGTGTTATTGTGACCTATTAAAGTATATTTTCAAAAATTTTGGTGAATTTCGTAGAACCAGCGAACCAAATTTTTTCGTCAATACCAGTGACTAAGCATTCATTTATGTCAGAGTTCATTGGTAGAGCTTGGAAAATCCCTTGACTATTGAATTCATAATTAATAGTGCAATCATAAATTTGATATTTATCGAAATAGGATAATGAATATGCGATCTATCAACTCGATCAACAACGTTTACTCTACATTGTGGAAGTTTCATGGGCACCGAAAGATAATCTCAATATCGAATTAGAACGATTACCAATTATTCATCATCAACAGCATGCATTACAATTGAGTGAACATGGTAATGATGATTCTTTTTATTAGATTAGAATTCAATTATCAGATTATCTGTTACATTCTAGTCGAAGTTCCCATGACAATCGATAATGAAATCATTGAAATAGCTGAACAAGACTATGGTTTAATATGTCCATCATCAGGAAAACTTGTACCACTTAAATCATTTCATATTCGTGCTCAAATTGTTGATGTTACAGTTGAAGTAATTATATCTATGTTTCCATTGAAGTCAAATACTAATTCATCATATTTCTATTTAATGAAAAAGGTTGTTCTCTATCAAGTCTATCACAATATGAGTTCGAAACCGATTGAAGCTAAATATGTATTTCCTCTTGATGAAAATTCAACTGTATGTGGTTTTGAAGCACATATCAACAATAGAATTATCAAAGGTGTCGTTAAAGAAAAAGAACAAGCCAAACGAGAGTATCGAGAAGCAATTCAAAAGGGTCATGGCGCCTATTTAATGCATCAAGAAGAAGCTCAAGTGTTCAGCGTTGCTGTTGGTAATTTGCCAGCGAACAATGAAGTTATCATCAAAATAACCTATGTTGCCGAATTAGAAATCGAAAATGGCGATATTATTTTTCGTCTTCCAGCCAAAATGACTTCATGGCAATCGAAAAAAGCGATCGAAAACAAAGATCAAACAATTCTACGATCTATTGGTATTGTCGATGAAAAAGTTGAATTCAGTTTCAAAGCATCGATTCGAATGCCATACAAAATAGTGAAATTATTTTCGCCAACACATCGTCTTCGTCGAAAGTTAACTGATTGTATAGCCATGATTGAACTTGTCGATAATATCTTACTTGATCAAGATTTTATTCTTTCGATCGCACTCAACAGTCCTAATTTACCTCGAACATCAAATGAAACATTGTCATTGGATGACAACAGTGGAACAACTGACACATCGAACAATCATAATTCTCAAGCATGTATGCTTACCTTTTATCCACGATTCGAAACATTGACGAATTCGAACGAACAAATTGAAATTATTTTCATTATTGATGTATCAAATTCAATGGATGGTAGTCATGTACAACAAGCTAAACAGTTAACTCATTTGTTTCTTACTAATTTGAAAGTTGCCGATGAGAATACATATTTTAATGTAATCACTTTTGGATCAGGTAATAATGTTATATTTAACAGCGTTATTTTTACTATTCAAATTGGAACTATTTAGATAATGATGAATGTTTTCCTATATCAACACCAATCACAAAAGAAAATCTTGATAAAGCCAAACATTTTGTTTTGGTTAGTAGTTTTTCTTCAATCTTCATTTTGTATATAAAAGTATTCTAGCATTCTCTTGTCCATCGTGGTAATACGGATCTATTTGCTGTTCTTCATCGTTATTCATTATTACCATCGTCATTATCATCGAAATTCGGTCGTCAATTCATTCTTCTATCCGATGGACATATTCACGATCTGAATTCGATTCTTGCTCTACTCAAATATCGACCGACTATGCGTCGTGATCGTTTATTTACATGTTCAGTTGGTAATATTGCAAACAAACATGGTTTGAAACAGTTAGCTAATGGAGCAAATGGAGGTGGTCTAACAACGATATTCGATTCGAACTATCGATCAAAATGGAAAACAAAAGTATTGAACATTCTTGAACAGATCCGACAACCTTGTGTTACAAGTATATCTATCGATTGGCATGGTCATTTGGATGAAGAACAAAAATTCAATATGCAAGCACCGAAAATGATTCGATCTTTGTTCAATGGAATGCGACTTACTGTTTATCGATTCATAGAAAATTGTCACAAGGCAACATTGACGGCTACTATTGATGAGCAAGAATTTGTTACGACTGTATTTAGTAGTACGATGACAACGACCAGAGGGCGTATTCTACACTGTCTAACTACTCGAGCGATCATCGATGATTATGACAACGGACTATTGGATGTAGATGAGAGCGAAAACGAATTGATCAAAGCTCAATATCGACGAGATCTCATCGATCTCAGCATCAAATATTCTGTTGTCAGTGCATACACTAGTTTTGTTGCCATCGAAGAACGTGATATCAAAACGGATATAAAAACTCTTCAACCAGGTTAGTAAAAAAAGTTGAGATTTTATTGACTAAAGTCATGGGTTGATTAGTAACAGAATAGCACAAGAGTAAAAATTTATCTACATCACTATTGAGACATGTACTTTCTGTTATAGGTGTTCGTCTGCCTGAAGTTATGCTGAAGCATGATGTGGACTTACTACCATACATGGGATGGGATGGTGATATATCAAACTTGACTTTAATCAAACATAAATTGTTCGATGCGCGTATTTCACTCGAATGTGCATCGATTCAGGGCAAAAAAGAAACAGTTGCTGATGTTGAAAAACTTTGTCAAAAAATTTCCTATCGAGCAGGTGGTGATGCAAAATTTGGTATGATGATGACTATCATACGCACATATCGTTATTCATTGAATGAATACGATAATGCAGATGAACTCGAAGACAAAATGCGAAAGGGTATGTTAATTGATCTAGGATCAAAATTTAAATATATCGAATTTGAAAAATGAATAGATATAATGACCGAAATGATTAGTGCAACGACAGAAGAACGGCAAGCATTACAACAAAAATGTCTGGCGAACAATTTGATAATCACAAATAACGAATTGTAAGTGAAAGAAAGGAAAGAAACATTCAAAAAAAAATGTTGGTGTATTCGTTCTCTTACAGTGAATCAATGGCTAAATACGATGGTAAGAAGGGAATTTGATCATTCTACTTTGGAAACCTCAATCGAGAGAAAGAAAGTGATTCTATAATTTAGACCAAAATGAAAAAATAAGAATATGCTATTCATCATCAAAGCAATGGACAAAAACGAATCTCATGATTATTTTGGTTTCTGTATATCATAGCATCTGAGCAATTCGATTAAGACAGGATAGAGTAAAAAGTACTTTTTCTATTCAACTTTTAATCGTAGATTTATGTGTCCTCTTTCTATAACGTAGTATAATTTCAACAGAAGGGATCCAAGAAAAATCTTAATAATTGCATAACATGTCCACACTACGTATATTGATCTTCGACAAACTTACGAGGAAAGGTCACGAACTGATAAATCGCTTTTTAAATTTTAGTCATGCCAATTTGTAGAGCTTGTTGAGTTATTAACTAATATGATAAACATTCAGACCAACAAATGGGGCTGTAGAGTAAATTTCTAATAATCTAAGTTTCTATTAACCTATCCATACCCCTATAGAGCTCCTAAGCACTCCTATAGGACTACTATACGGTATGGACAGATTAATTGAAATTTAGATTATCAGAAATTTACTCTACAGCTGCATTGTTGGTTCGAATGACTATTATATCAGTTAATAACTCAACAGGCTCTACAAATTGGCATGACTAAAATTTAAAAAGCGATTTATCAGTTCGTGGCCTTCCCTCATCAGTACGAGGGTGAAAATGAATAACCATTGCACGTACTCAATCATCATATTGCATTTTTGCAACTCTAACGGTAGTAGAAAATCATTTTAGAAAGCTTTGGTGAAGTGACATTAAACGGAATTACTTGGATGTTTTGAAAGAATTATATAGTCTAACTTTAAAGTCTAACCTATACTAAGTAGAACATTTAAGATTATCAAAATGAATACCATGTGAAAAAAGTGAAGATCGTTTCCAAAACAATATTTATATTTCATTTTCATAGATTTGGTTCGTATGCTTGGAGCTGATTTCAAGGATTTAACAACAGTTGAACAAATGGAAAAGATAAGAAAACTATGCAGCATGGTGCGTCAATTCAATGCTACATATAAGAATAATGCCGAAAATTGAATATTTCTTTTTCAGTTAGATGAAGTACCAGATTTTATTGGTAAATTATTTATGCCAGCAACAGCAAACCTATCACCAATACCTGAAAAGCAACTTCCAACTACAGATAACATGAAGATAGGGGTGCGTGAGTGAAAGAGGGACCATCATCCACAGCTATACTCTGACTGGAAGACAAAATTTCTTTCTCAGTAAAAGTATCGCCAAAATACTTCATCCAGTTGAGTTGAAATTGATACCGATGCTAAATCGTTGCGTAGAAAGAGTACAGTAAACATTAGAGCACAAAACATTAAACTGCGGGTGAGTCATAGGTGGTGTCAAAATCCACAAATTTCAGGATAACATTAAATTAAAGGCGGCACTTTTGGATGGCTTTCTGTTCTCTTAGTACGATAGTACTTAGATGTAATTAGTCATCTGTAGAGTAACACTGTTTAGTAATTAAAAGCAAAATTGAGCTTTATTCAGGGTAATCTTAAATGAAAATCTGATGGTTTTCCAAAAAAAACTGCTGTAAATATTTGAAAGAAAAAAAGAACAATTTAGTAAGAAAAGAACGGCTTCGATCAATATAATTACAAGATATAGGTATTTCGAAAGAAGAGACTTCACCGCATGTCTCTATAGAAAACAATTCATTTTTGCTTTAGAGGAAAAAAATCAACTTCTGTTGAGAGACCTATTGATTTCTTGTTTATAGAAGGTGTTGTTTTTTTACGGCACGAGAAGCATCTCATGCTCAATGGAGTCTAACTGAAGAAGAGGTCTAACTTTTTAAGTTAAGAAGTGTGACCTTTAGTTACTTATTTTCTTAATCTTTAGGCTTCCTTCATCAAGAATTTGTTTTCAAATAAAACAAATACAAAAACATTAGAAATGATTTCTCAAAACAAAATATGTAAAGTATCATGTACTACAGAAAACATACTTGCAAACAAAAATAAAGATTTGACTAGAATAGCAGTCGAATTTCATCAAGACATATTTCTGATAGAGTCTACATATTACTTCATGTTTTAGTTCTATGTTGATTCTAAACATTGTATTCATTTTATTTTGCAACAAATCCTTGACAGAGAAATTCTACAAAGAAGAAATCATTTAGTACTACACTTCATTCTCAGGAGGTTCAGTTAAAATGGAGTACAAGGAAAGATACGATTTCTTTTAGTCTCAAGTATTACATATTTTTTAAGTAGAATTCATTCAAACTTTATTCGCTTCTCCTCATCGGCAAGATTATATGTCAAGAATATGAAAAATAGGTTTTTTTTAGATTGAATTTTTCATGTTAGCTGCGAAATTTTTTTTCTCTCTCGGATCACTACCGAATGGCTCCAACACTGCTTATTGTGAACCCGTTCATCCAGTCCTATGATTTATTTCTAGGCTGATCAATTGACAGAAGAACAAATAGCTGAATTTCAAGAAGCTTTTTCTCTATTTGACAAAGATGATGATGGAACAATTACAACTAAAGAATTGGGTACGAAATTCTTTATTTGTTTTTCTTTAGATATGTATCTATTTATTTAAATATTAATTAGGTACGGTGATGCGTAGTCTTGGTCAAAATCCAACTGAAGCTGAATTGCAAGATATGATCAATGAAGTTGATGCCGATGGTAAGGTTTTAATCAATCAAATAGTAAATTTGATTTAGTTTATGTTTTGATTATATTAAACAGAAAAAAAGTCTAACCTTTAATTGAACATAGACGCTCGCATCTAATTAAAATTAAACCTCGAGATATATTTATTCTTAAGGTCATTCGCTTTTTTCTCTTGTATATAAAAATAACAAATAGTTATTAATTATAATTGTATTTGCTTTATTGTTAGGTAATGGTACTATTGATTTTCCTGAATTTTTAACGATGATGGCACGTAAAATGAAGGATACTGATTCGGAAGAAGAAATTCGCGAAGCATTCCGCGTCTTTGACAAGGACGGTCATGGATTTATATCGGCTGCTGAACTTCGGTAAGGGAAAAAACCTAACATACAAATATATTTATTCTGCTTTTTTTTAAAGTCATGTCATGACAAATTTGGGTGAGAAACTCACTGATGAAGAAGTTGATGAAATAATTCGAGAAACACATATTCATGGAGGTTAGACTGTTATTTTTATTAAAGAATATTCCTTCGACTGAAGGGAGGGTCATATGAAAAAAAAATGATTTTGTGTGTCTGTGTGTTTGTGGCAAGGTCAAAAGAACATCCGCTTAAAGATCAATGCTCAGGTTTCTTCGATATCTAGCTTTCGTCCAATCAGTTTCTTTTGGGTTGCAATTTCAGCTTATCAAGAGTTTTCGATATTGGCCTTTCGGTCAATCAGATCCTTTTAGCTTGGAGTTCCAGTAAATCAGGGACAAGAATTTATTTAAATCAGCGGATTTATCTATTGATAGCATATAATACATTTTCACTGTATCAAAAGAAAGCTATAGTTCAGCAGAGTTAGTCCTCGTCCTCAACTACAAACTCTGTCCATGGAAATCTCATGATGAGGGTGTCTTCATAGTAGTTGATATATTTTCTAATCCATCAGTGCAAACTAACACATTAGATCGAAAATTTCGAGCGCTTTCAGAATATGTTATTATGTTTTTACAAATATCGTGACGATATATTATTTTTTCCAGAGGTATATATGGATTATTCTTATATCGAATTGTTTTTTGACATATGAGATTTGTAGATTGACATGATGTAGACATTTAATTTAGTACTGAAATATTTGTTGTGATGTTTTATAGTTGATCGCAGTTGTAGTCAGCGAAGAAGAGTAATTAATTTGGTGTAACTGTTTGCTTTCTTTTATCAAAAATAAATAGCTTATTTGTCACTTATCTAGACAACAGTATTTTGTAGCTACTGTTGGGGATTATTTTTAGTGAGGACACCATCAGAATTGCTATCGAAAACAAGTGGTTTGAAACAAGTGTCATTAGAGGAATATGAAATGGCTGATTCATACGATGACAAGGGCAAAGACGCCGGCGATTCATCTTCGCTTCGATTTACAGACACCCGTGGGCCCTTGTTGACGAATCACGATTTGCCCACTTCGAAGATAATTCTAGCTAATGAAAAGGAACGCTTGACAGAATCGAATTTTCTTAAGTTACTTTCGAAATCAGAAGAACAACAAATGTCAATGTCTACTGTTGATAAGAAACCGAAGAAAAAGAAGATGAAAGAAAGGGGTACAGATAAGATCGTTATTAGCATCAAGTTCGTTTCATTGTGTCCGTTATAGAATCAATGCCTGCACTACCATCGGAGCCACCACTAGAACCGCCTCAACAACAACCAAGCCCTGGTGCCAAGATACCAATGTATGTATTTTCCGGACTCTGTGTCATGTAGTCATTGATGTTTTCTGTTAGGATGTCAGATGGTAAACCAACGTCAGGCTTGACATTACCATGCAACCAGCCATCAGTACAAATATCTGAAGCTGCAGCATTATCGTCTTGTATCGATAATCTCAAGACTACAAGTAAGATCTGAATTTCGGCCTATTAATATTTATGGTAATTCCTAACTTCAACTAGATTTGAGCTATAATACTTGGACTTCTTGCGCAAATAATAGGTTGTTCTTATACGATCAAGAGTTCCGAATGTTTTACGCCTATTTCCGAGGAGGAAGCAGCAATTTATGAGTTTGATGAATTTGATTAAATTTGAGTGAGTATAATAAGCTAAATTCAAGTCACTGAGACTTACTGAAGTTAAACATGCCACGTTCTGATTTCATGTCCATTTCAGGTCTCGAATTGGCAGCGCCATTCGATTCGTCTGACCATGTAGTTGATGCTTCTGTATCGGCTCCTCTTTCTTTACCGGAACCACTGTCACCAGACATATCATATCGAACAATATCACTGTCAAAAGAAGCGGCAAAATCTGCATCCCGCAGTGGTAGCAACTGTATGCAATCTCCAATAGCATCAAAACCGAAGTCAAGTGTTAGTAAGTTAGAATCATACAAATTTCTCGATTATTTTGATTAACGATCTGTGAACATAGAAACGCCTTCACGAGTTTTGTCAAAGAGTGGTAAACATGGTAGCATGAGAGTACTTATCAGTGAACCACAAAGTTCAGACGATGATACAATAGATGAAATACTATCAATGGATTCGACATATGAAACTGTACAATGTGACGAGATGTCTGACAAAATACATGTGTCAATGGAAAAACGAGATCAACACCGGAAAGTACGTACATTAACATGGAATTTTTCTTATGAAGTTTGATCAACTTGTTAGGAGCAACGGTATGACGATGATATGAGAAAGTTTACAAGTGAAAGTGCACAATCAAAATCCACGATTGATAAAAAGACAAGACGATTAGAAATGTGAGTTTTGACAAAGGTGTGCGACGATTAATTACTAATCGTCATTCTCGATCGATGACTTTGTTTTTAATGAGAATTAAATGAAAATTTAGATCTCGATCAAGAATGACACGTAGTTCAACATCCGAAACATCTGTCTGTGATCTACTTCTTCTGGATGTGTGTCCACTTGGTCTAGGCATCGAAGATATTCACGGTAACATGCACACGCTGATTCGTCGTAATACAATTATTCCAGCGCGAACTGAACTTTATCCAATATTCACAAATGCTTATGCCTATCAAACAACAGCTACCATTCGCATATTTGAAGGTGAACATAATCTCACAAAATACAATGTACGTAGTGTTCTAACTTTATAAATTTTATTTTCTAGCCTTCTCTATTATAGATATTATTGGGTGAATTTAGTCTTTCTGATCTAGCAAGCAACTTCGCTGCTCAGACACTTGAAATAGCTATTCGTATGGATATCGATGCTAATGGGATACTTCATGTCGATGCTGAAGAAGCACGCTCGGGCGCGAAAGCTTCATTTACTGTTGGATCCAATCAGCAAAGTTCGACAATTACTTAGATGTTTCATATCATTATTAAATACCGTTCATATTTATCTAGGGTTGAGCAAAGATGATATTGAACGACATATTACATATGTAGAAAGTGATACAAACTTTGCAGCTAAATCTGGTCAGTATGAAAAAAGTATAAATGATATTAAATTATTGTTATTCTGTAGTTTATGATCGCAAACCCAATGATTCATTGTACTTAGTTCGTATTATGTCATCTTTTCATAGTTCGATTTTTCACTTTTTCTGTCTTTTCTCAGCTCGATGGTCAAATCACATCTGTAACACGTAACTTTTCTGGTGAACTTATTACCTCATTCGGTAATTTGTCCTTTGTTGTTGTTTGAGAGATATACTGCAATTGTATACGAATTCAGGTCAAACGACTGGTGCTCCACTTCTCATTAAACTGAAAAATGTTCAATCTACAAGAACAATGATTGAAGAACTCATCAAACTTCAATCCGAGGTAATATCATTTTCAAAGTTTATTACCGATGTATTTTTTTGCATTTGATTCGAATATAGGACGGTTCATTTACGTTGAATAAAGATTTAGCTGATATACTTCATATCAATGTTGATATTTTCAATGGCCTAGAACAATATTTACGTGAACAAGGTTTTAACTCGCTTGGTAAGATCGTATGATTTATTACGGAGATATGAACTTTAATTTTCTTAGCTTTGAACATACAAGACGAAATTCTTCGTTTAATTGGTACAGGTGTCATTCTTCTTTGGCTCGTTCTTCAAATGCAAGATTTACAACAACATACGTGTCAATTTTTATTTAACATTGAACAAATCAAAGTGAATTGTTTTTTTCCGATCTTTTCAATTTACATTTTACTCTCTCTATGTTGCTAAGGTTTATCTCTGCAACCATTTACCTGCTAACATGAATGAACAAATTAGCAAAGCGATCGAATTCTATCAACAAATAAGTCAACGTAATGGTATCTATTGTAAACAATTAGAATTGAGCGATTCATCATGGGATATGTTTATTCAACGTATAGTTATTGGCATCGATCATGTCAATAAGTAAAAAGTGATTCTGAGTGACATCTCTTTTTTTTCTAATAATTTTGCTATTACACTTTTATTATTCTAATCCTGAAGCACTACAATATTGTTTATTCTTCAACACAAAAAAAATAAAAGAATTAAAGGGTGCGGATCGATGTACGCGTGATAGTAAACATAAGACGTACATTCTCATATTTTTCATGAGTCATGTGTTGGAAAAAAGCAGTTGCAAGATTTCTCAGTGCAAATCTTGGCGCACAAGTAATTGTTCCTGGCTTACGACTAAATTGATAAATACTTCAATCGTGTTGGAAAAATCTGAATCAAAGTTTTGTTGAGAGTGTGAGTGAGAACTCAATATAACATCCTCATTCCCATCTATCCACATCCATACATCCAAAATTTGCCATGATCTAAACGAAGTAGAATGCATGGAAAAACTTGCCATTTCTATCGTTCAACAGACAAATACATTAAAAATTTGTGGTTATTGAGTTGTAAGCTAACAGTAACATTCTTTCAGCTAGTAAGTCTCATTTTATTTATTATAGACGTCAAAATATAAGGTAGGTGGTTGTTTTTTGAATAAGTGTCGATAGGAACAAGCTAGAGACCTGTGATTTTCACCATTCAACAGAGAACAGAGATGAGCATTAGGGATGCACCAGTGCCAGTAACTGAGTGCCCAGTCGAACTGGGACCCAGTCACGACTGGGCACTTAGTCATTTAACGTTTATTCCGCTAATCGATCAGTACTTCCCTCTTTTCTAACGGTGTGGGTGTCGTTATTGTCTTTATAACCATTCCCACATCCAAACAACATCCACACCCACACCCACAGGATACAAAGGATACCGGGATTCGCTTTTTCTCCCTTATACTTACTTCTCTTTTTTCAAACAGAGATTGCGAATAATGTCAAACAATTCTGCTCTCTAATCAGAGTCTATAGCTCATAATGTGTAACTACTACAAGTTGATTCATGACAACAAGCAGCACTTACGTGTTTGCTGCAGATGGCCTTACTCTAGATTGGCCAGATGCGAGATCTAACTGTACATCATCAACGTATCAAGATTTAGAGAGTTCCAAACATCTGAGTGGCTGATCTATAGAAACTTCAATTTATATAATCAAGAGAAGCATCGTTAGTCTAAATAATTTCTTTTTCATTCTTCACAATAAATTCTTGTTAATTTTGTTTTCTTTTTCAAAAAAAAATGATCGTCTTGAAGAAAAGATCAAGATTCAGTTGTCTGTTTCATCAGATGGGAGGAAGCACCCATAGTTCTACAATCAAGCACACAAATGAAAGTGCATTGTTACTTCATATCAGTGAATCGATCGAAAACATATATCTAACATCTGACTATATGCATTCGTATAGAAGGAGAGACAAAGTAATTACACTTAAAGAAAACAACAAGTGTTATTGCACACACTCACGAAGAAAATATTTGATGAAGCTTTGCCAGATGCGTTCGTGATCATTTGACTGCTATGTTAATCAGGGATATTTATTTTCTGTATAAATGTTTTGCCTATTCGATTTTCTTCACAATTTATCGTCGAACGCAGCGATCGCTCCCATAGAATGAAGCTATTTACAACTACAGGTATCTCATTGTTTTTTGTGACTCGATAAAGTGCATATAACGGATGCTTTTATTAAATTACGACGAATTTAGCCGTGACAGTTGTTCTTTCGTTGATACTGATTGATTTTGGTAAATTAAATAAACATATACTTTCATATGAGTACTTCTTTTTGTTTATTTAAATCAGTGTCAACACAACTCTATCAGAAATCGATCAATTGGGACAATCGTGCCCAAGGTCAATATACAGATGCTATGGCCAAAGCTGATTTTGGTTCGGTCAGCGGATGGAAAAACGATCGTGCATCGATCTCAGACGGGAAATTACGTATCACTTTACGAAAAAATGCATTGGGTGGGGAAAGCGGTATCATATCCAACACAAGAATCCCAGATGGTTCTGCATATGAGTTGGATTTTGACGTTCGGTTTCATAGTCAATTCGACTGGAGTCGTGGTGGAAAAGTTGGTTTCGGTTTTGGCATCGGAAATCGAAATACAGGATGCAATCCCCCAAAAGATGGAGCGGGTGGAACTCTACGTTTAATGTGGTACAATGATAATAAACGAGTCTATTTCATTCCATATGTTTATTATTATGGTATGCCAGGGCAGTGTGGAGACAAGTTTGGCAAATCGTATCCATCAACTGGTATGAGTTATTATTCTTAAGGAAAGTTATATTCAGAATCACCGCTAGTTTGAAGTAGTCACTGTTCGAGATTACTTCTCCATTCGACATGCTTTTGAGCACGGATTATCCCCATAGAGTATCGAAACACAACCGAAAAGTCTTTAAAATTTCTTACCAGATCATTTGATGATTCAGTAAAAAATGTCATCAATGATTGCGAAAGGGTGAATATAAAAACGTACTCTTTCTTAACTTTAGGTAGTATTGAAAAAGGCAAGTTGTACAGAGTTCATATGTATGTCAAATCAAACACTGGTAATAACGCCAATGGACACGTCCAAATAAAAATCAACGGAGAAGTGCTAATTGATCAGAGCATCCGGTGGACAACCAATGACAGTAAACGACTTATTAACAACTTGTCTTTTCACACGTGAGTTTTATTTCAGAATACTTTTGTTATAAGTACTTTATTTGACTTTTTTCAAAATAGATTTCGTGGAGGAAGCGAAGATCATTGGAAATCCAACGTTGATAGCATGATTTACTATGATAATTTGTCTGTCAGACAAATTAGTAAATGAGGTTTGCATCTTCAAACGATCTCGAACATATCGAATTCATGAATTCTATTTTTTTTTCTTATTACTCAAATAAATTTTCGCAAAATTTTGAGTGAAATTGATTTCTTAAATATCTTGAAGATGTTAATGGTCTTCGGAGAACTAAAGAGTATGGGTGTGGGTGGGTGTGGGTGTGGGTGGGTGTGGGTGTGGGTGTAGAAACGGAGACGTCGCCACCCACACCCACCCACACTCTGTACAGTGTGAATATTTAGTCGATCCACAGAGATTCACACCCACACTTATACCCTAAATAATATTCTTTCGTAAATTTCTTTTTGTCAGATATTGTTAATATAACTATTAGTTAAGAAATGAAACTCACAAAGATCAACTTCGAAATTTGATGTATTTTAGCATTCGATTGAGTTGAAGAGAAAACTTTGAAAAATCAAAGATCTTCGTTCGATAAATGTCAATGGCAGTTTATTATCACGAACTATGAAGTATCTTTATTAATATCATTGATAAAACATTATTTTATAAAGATTATCAGTCATCATGCTGCATTCGATTTTGAGCAACACATCTATTAATGAGTACTATTTTACTATTGCGTAGAGTATTCCAGCTGACGTGACGGATCATTTGGTTGCTCAATAGCACGCTTTACTCGTCTTGCACTTTTATACACTTGTATACTGGCAAATGTTATAGACACGACATTGATTCCACACATGAGAGAAAAGTAAGGTCCCGTATGCATTGCATTCTCAAGAGGAACGGCAATAGTGACAATAATGCCTGCTGCACAA